ATGAAATTGCAAAATGGCCTTGCCAACGAGAAGTGTCAACTTACTGAATTATTGAATAGATTTAGTATACAAAATTTATTTATTTTAACGTATCAAAAAAAAAGTTAGCGACATTATTTATAAATTTAAATAAAACGTTAATAAATGAAATTCAACCAGAACGATAAACTGTATTGAAAAAAAAAATCTGTTGAAAGTTGGAATTGATCCCGTGGTACCAAAACAATTCGAGCGGTGGCATAAGCAGCAATCAACTTAGCTACCAAAACTTCGATCCTTAGGAATCTGAAAGTCACTAATGTTCATTAATAACCTCCGGAGCTTGTCCTACAGTTTATAACATTATGAGGAAGAATAATAAATTAGGGATTATAACTTAACTGCCGTCCTTACAAAAATAGCTAAAATTTTTTTTCAAATAATACTGAATTTCAAAATAAGAATTAAAAGTAGAGGAAAAAGAGGAAAGAGCGGGAACAAAAATCAGTTCAATACATGTACGATATACTCGGTTGCAGTCAAAAGAGAAAAACTCGTGTCGTCACTTGCTTTGGCTGTGCGCTCAGATATATAGCTATAGTCAACATTTCCACTCCTCTCCTCGTTGACACACATTCGGTATACCCCTTCCACGTCTCTCCAAAATGTGCGCCTATATGATCATTTCCATACGAATCCACTCCTCTTCTCGTAGGCGCACGCTGTTCGATGGTAGGCCATTTTGCTGCGAGAAGGTTCACCATCCCTTCACAAGGAGCATTATGTGGTGAAAAAGCACATGTGAAAATTCACAGAGGTATTTGGTCAAAAGAGTCACACTGGCCGAAAAACGAACGTGCAGTCTCCCACCAGAGATGAGTAGAGAGATNTGAAATATTTACGTATCTAATTTTTTTGCTAAACTATCTATTTTATTTTATTCAAACCAAATTGTTAATGCTGTTTCAAAGTTTTCTATCGTTTTAAACATATTATTTTTATGAAAAACTTAATTTTGTTTATTTTTAATATTACTGGTAAATTAAATACAGAATGACTACCTCTACACAGAGGGAACTCTTGCAATTGCCATGCTGCTTCCATGGGGCTCAAAGAGCGGCCATCTACATAATCTGATGTTTCATTAAAAATTTTTATTTCTCTTTTTTATCACTCGTATCTGTTTTCGTTATTTTACGTGATGCTCTACCTTCTCCTTTATGAATATAATCAAAAATATACTTTATACTTTGAATAGATGCACAATACTCAACATTAATGTGGCAATTATATTTGGGAAACAAAAATGCATTGTACGGGACTAAAACTTTTTCATTACTACTTTTGATTCTATATATATGATTATCACATATATATTGTCACCTCTTTTGTAATTTGGGTATTCATTTTTGTAAAAACGGTATCATTAGTAAATTTTTTCGAAACTTTTTTGTACAAATTTTTTGATGACTGGTAAGGCATGGACCATCTTCACTATGATGTCTATGAAGCATGTGTTTAATAACTAATTTTTGTATTTGTGAATCAAGTGGAATTCCCGCTGAAATATATTTATCTATGTCTATGGTAGTAAATAATTTTTTGTTTCTATGCAATGTTCCAATAATATAATAATGAGATAATCCTCTTTTTTGAAATTCAACGGTATAAACGTAAGCAACAACTTTTCCAAAAACATTGTGTTAAGTTGTATCATCTAAAATTAATTTCAATTTTGTATGAAATAATCTTACATTAAGTATATCATTCGGAGTAGAACCTTCAGAAAAGTTTTGTTAAATCTGCTTTATTTTTAAACATCTAAGGTTACATGTAACGGTAATAAAAAAATCAGATCGTCCAAACTTTCGCATTATTACCATTGCATCTTGATAATGTTATTCTATTGCTTTCTATCATAATATACGCGTGCAAAAAAAATTATTACGGTTATCTTCCAGCATAGAGTATAGGGCTAAAAATTTTACTATTCTGTCGATAGAAAGTTTGATACAAGTTATATTGAAGCAACGTAAGATTTTTTGCTTTTGTTAACAATTTTTGCCTATCACATGTACTCCATCCTACATCTCCTACTGGAAATAATAAAGGAAATATCATAGGATCAACATGCTGTATCCAGCATAAAGCATCGATAATGCAATCTATAAAGGTGTTGATAAATAAGATGATAATATTTATATAAATTTTCCCTTAAAAATGTTAAACAATATTCGTGAAAGCTTGCCACCTCATGAACTTAAATAGAAAATAGGTACAGTAGTAATGTTAATTCCAAGTTTAAGTATATCAGACGGCTTATGTAACGGTACACGATTGCGAGTTATTAAATTAGTGAAGTATAACGTAGAAGACGAAATAGGTACATAAATTGGTAATTGGAATAAAAGTTTTTATTTTAAGAATAACATTAAATACCGGAACCACTTTATCATTACCTTTCATTTTATATAGAAAACAATTACTATTAGTTGTAGCAGTTGCTATGATTATGAACAAGCCTCAAGGTCAAAGTTTTAATAATCTGGGATTATATTTGAAAAAACCTTTATTTTCTCATGGTCAATTGTACGTAGTTTTATCGAGATGCAAAAATAAAAATAGAATTTTTGTTCAAATCAATAGAGAAAACATTTTCGATTTGAAAATATAGTTTGGAAAGAAATTTTTGATTATGAGTAATAATGTTTCTAATAATAACATCATGATTTGAAAACTCTTATATGTATAAATAAAATTTATTACCTAATAATACATTTCATGAATGTATATTGTGTTTATCTATTGTACCAATTTCAACATCAATTTAAAATAGAATAGAAATAGACTTAAGTCTTTCCTTACACTTTCTGGCGGATGGGTCCCGGCGCCGGCTAGCTGGCACTCTCTACCTCTCTGTGTTACCACTACTGCTCTGTATCCCCCCTAAGAATGCACGCTTTTTTCTTACACTTTCTGGCTGATGGGTCCCCCTTCCCAACCGTCTTTATACACAGGAAATACATGGGAAGCATATACATCGTTCTAAATATCTTTATTTTATTAATCATAATAATAAAGTTATCTGTTGCCTATCGAAGCTCTTTATTGACTTTCCATCACTTTTCAATCATTCGTAGAGCATGGTAATACTTTAACAATTACTTTCATTCAATACTTACTATTATATAACTGAACAATTCTAACTTGTTTTGTTCTTCCATAGACATCGACAACAGCGTATAAAGGTCCTGCTTTATATGGAATGTCTCTGCTAAAAACTCCTTGATCCTCACCATTGATAATAAAATGCATTTCTGCTTTATCTGAGCCTGTTTGTGGAACATACATAACACCAACTTTACTACCCGTATCTGTTGGCATAATATTCTGTGAAGAGTCTTTAATGTTTGGTTTTAAAGTACTGCATGGTAAGATGCCTTTAGAAGTGTGAACGTTAATACCGTCAGTCACTAGTTTTTTTTCTCTGAATGGAATGCCTTCACCTGTTGCCAAAGATTAAAAAAAATGGACAAAAATTTTGTGAAAACAAAATGCAAAGCGTTAGCTGCTAAATAAATTGACATAAGTTTATACCATAACCTGTCCCAGTAATCCCTTCAAAGCTGTCCCAAATGTTAGAACTTTCAGTCATGGCAAATATCCAACTGGAACTCATTTTCATTAGGTTTGGTGAAGCACTATTAAATTGAGTAGATCGAATTTTAAAAAGTTTTTTTGGATCCATTTGAGTCAGTCCTATTCTCATGTGGCCACTCCATTTTTTTTCATCCTTTTCAATTTCCAACAAAAAAATTTCTCCAGACTGCAATGGTTCGTCACTAAATACTAATGCATTAGAAAAACTTGCCTTACGATAAGCAACTGTGTTATCATCAGAAAGAATAATGTTTTCTCCATGATTTGAATGAAACTTTGTTTTGTCAATTCTTTTACCTTCAGACATGTTGCAGTTATATGAATCTGAAAATATTAATATTCCATAACTTCTTTATTAATTATACAGTACAATAATGACAAAATTTTTATTTTAATATTATACACAAGATATTAGTAAACGAATTTATTATTAATAGAACAACATAACTTTTGCTATGTTTCACAATACTTTTGTTAAAAATATCTAGCTGAAAGCTGTTTCAGTAGTTACGTCATTGTCAAAGTCTCGACATACTCTGAATGTATAAAACAAGCGGCTAAATTTAAGAAAAATGTTAGGTCTTGAATTTAATACACGCCCAATCCACAATTTGCCAGGTCAAAAAGTGTAATTTTAACTATAGAATTTTAGTTAGACATCATTTTTATAGTGATCGTATCATATCCAAGTAAATTTTATATTTTTGAAGTGAAACTTCTTATGTTTGGCCGTGAACAGTCGCCTGGGAAAATGCATTACAAAAAAATGTAGCCACCCACCCTGCAGTCCAGGCCCTCTCCTCAATCTTAACTCTTATACACTTCCTCCCACTCCGTCTCTCTCTCTTTCGCAGCGAGCTCCACTCTACTGTCTACCGTTCCGTCTCTCTTTCTCTCGCCTGTACGCCGCTGGCTCCCTTCTTCTCACGCTAGTACTATACCTATACAAGAATACATATATTATATGTTAGTGTGTATGTTTCTACACTACAATTAAACACTATATAAACCGATACGCTTACTCAACCTGAGGTATAGGCATGGAGAAATGAGAAAAGAAGAGAAAAATAACAGCTGTACCTATACTAGAGGCAAAGTATAAGTAAGTATTTTGTATACATATATACGTGTTGCTTGTTCCGGTTATTACATACATGTTCATATGCATACATGTATGTAAAAAAACGTGCATAAAGTATTAAATATGTATAATACGACAATCTTACCTTTGAAAACAAAAAAAAAACGCTGTATCTCGGAAGGAAAGCAAAATTGGCTAAAAATAACAATTTTGACGGGCCTCCTAATATAAAGGGGAACTACATGATAGAGGTGCACAAATATAGAGCGGTTAGACTATGCACAAACATAATCTTGATTATTTCTTTTTTAGACTGTATCTTGAAAAGAATAAGTAAAAAAACATTTTTTTATTCAGTATGACATGTTAAGCATATTAATACAAATGTTGACAAAACCTTTGAAGGATTTTCGTTACAACGTAACCTCTTAAAGTTAGAAAAACAGTCGTATTTCGAAAGGATAGTCATATAGGCCAAAAATAATTCCACGTATAGAAAATAATTACTGAGGAAAAAAAGTATATGTTACACGGATTTATTTCGACGGTCATAATAATTCTAAAAATAATAAGTCGTATCTCAAAGGCAAAGCTACATCCCACATATCCTAGCTATAAGTTGATTTACTTTCTCTTCTCTATCATGTATTATAAGAAAAATTGTCACGTGATCAAAATCTATATTCTTATCATTCATTTTAAAGTTAGTAGAAATTAGTTATAAGTACGAGTAAATTTTAATATTAAATTATAAATAATCATAAATAACGAGTTCAATAAAAAATCACATCCTTACAATGGAAAATAGCTATACGTCAATTATTTTCAATCTTAATCAGATATAGTGAATTATTTTACTTTTATGGTAACCAAAATTTTAAACTACTTGTCGGATACAATGATTCTAACAAGAATTGATTATACGTATATGATATATCAAATGCACGAATAAAAAATTTGTAATAAAAAGAATTTTTGTCCCACGTAACAAGACAAAAGTACCTTTTTTCGGGCACTACGGTGAAAATTTTCGTTTCGTTCTGCATCATAACCAACAATTCGTACATACAGTAGAACGTTTATTATAGTGTAACATTGCAGCTTCCGGGACCTGTAAAATACAAAGGGGGAAAGGGGTCCGGGTCAAAGGTGCAGGGAAGCTAGTTACTACGAGTTCTCTTACTTTGCTTTCTTGCTCTTCTCTCTTTATCTGCTCTGCTCACTCGTTCTCTTGTCCCTGGAATTCTAATCAAAGTGGGGGGGGGGGCTTTCAAGCAGCAACAAAGGGGAGGGAATGGGGGAGGAAATTCGTCCTTTTCTAAGGGTCGAAGAATAATGCGTAAACGTCAAATATAACTTCACTCTTATTTATTGAAAACACTCTTATCTCAGAACGCATATAAAGGGGGCCGTGCTACAGCCGTCCGCGCCGCACGCGGGTGCAGCTAGCGCGCGCTCAATCCGCTGTCTCGTCCTCACTTAACCTCCTGTCCTCCCTCGCTTCGTCTCTCTCTCTCCCGCTTCTCTGCACACAACCTCTCTCTCTCTCTCGTCTTCACACTTGGCCCGTCCGCACTCGTCCTCTCTCTCTCTCCACGTGCACGATCCTTCTACCTGGTCACGGCACGCACACGCTCTCTCGTATCTCTCTCTCTCTCGTCTTTACCCTCTACCTTGTTCCCGCCCTATCTCTCTCTCTTCCTCTCTCGCGTCCTCGTATCCTCAACCTCCTTTACATACACACGCACACATACACGCCATCCTACTCGTCCTCACGCGTTCTCGTTCACTCGGCTCTCTCTATCTCTCTCACGTGCACTACCCTTCTACACAGTCACGGCCCACCCACACTCTATCCACTCGTCCTCTACCTGCCTCACGCCCTCTTTTCGTCCTATGGTCGCGCCTTTTGTTCACTACTACATTCACACACACACTCTCACTCTCTCCTTCACACTCGAGTCCGGCCAGCCCGTGCGCACGAAAATACCAAGAAACGCTACCATCCTCGTCGACCTTTGGTAGTCCTGGGGGGGGGGGGGGCGACGTGGTCCGGTGCGTGGCCGAGGACGTTCGGTGGCCTCAAACAGGCGGCGGGTAGACTCTGCTCTCGGCGTGCTCTCGTCCTCTGCTTCCTGACTCCCTAGAGGCCGCCGCCTGGTGGACCCACGGCTCGCCTCGTCGTCGTCATCGAATCTCTCTCTCTCTCTTCACCCTCCTCGATACACTCCCTCTCTTCACCCACCACACTTCTTATCCACGTCTCTCGACACTCCTCCCTACTCTCTCTCGTCCTCTACCTCTTCTCCACGGACTCACTCTCTCCACCTCCTCTACACCTAGAAAACTCTCCACAAACGCAAGAACACACAAAAAAAAACGCGAGAGAAAAACCGTCAACCACAAGCGCACGCTGGCTCAACAGACAAATCCCGACTGACTACTCCTGCGCATCTTGCATACATAGGGTGCGCCGCTGCGCCGCAAAGTCCACGCATCTTCACTCGCAGTCGTATCGGTCGAACGGCCTAAAAGCATGCTGGCAGGGCTCGAGCGCTCACTCGTTGAGAGTCGCTCCTTGTCGTCGTGCTGTCCGTGCTGCTGCTACCTCGTCGTCCATTGGTCGGGGGGGGGGGGCCTTATGTGATGCCCCCCGCATCACATAAATAAAAGAAGAAATAACAGGGCGATTCTCCATATCGCCCGCGGCCATTAGTCTGCGAAAGACCCGATAGGCGGCGGCCCGTCAGAAAAGGCGCGACGTTCGAGTAAAACGGAAGATCACAGTTTTACCTCGTTACAAAAGCAAACATAAAAGTACTTAAAATACGTTTAACATCATGCATCACATGTAACTGAAGTACACGTATTTTATGCACACCTGAGCTCGAATAAGTAATATTAAAATTTTTACTATTTTAATGTTGGATTTTTAAAGACCTATTGAAATTAGATGTAATATGATTTTCTCGGTTTTATACTGTTTATTATGTTATGCCAAGTTTAATAACATTTGAGTTGGAAATTTCACTTCATATAGCCTTGGTACAGTAAGGCACGTTGTTACATTGTATTTGTTACATATTGCAAGTAATGGTTACATGTTACATTATTGGTTACATTTTCACATTATTAGGTACAGTTGTAGTTCGTTGGTAGGTTGATGATGTCACCATAGACCACCTCGAGAGCAAAGGATCTATATGGTAGGCCATTTTGCTGCGAGAAGGTTCACCATCCCTTCACAAGGAGCATTATGTGGTGAAAAAGCACATGTGAAAATTCACAGAGGTATTTGGTCAAAAGAGTCACACTGGCCGAAAAACGAACGTGCAGTCTCCCACCAGAGATGAGTAGAGAGATTGCTAACGCCAATGCTACGATGCGAGACGACTTTTTGGCACTGATCGGAGCGCCTCACCGCGGCCAGCCGTCGAACGGGTTGCACATCTTACTACTCGGACCGAACAGCGTGCGCCTACGAGAAGAGAAGTAGATTTTCGCGTGGAAATGATCACATAGGCGCACATTTTGAAGAGACGTGGAAGGGGTATACCGAATGTGTGTCTACGAGGAGAGGAGTGGAAATGTTGACTATAGCTATATATCTGAGTGCACAGCCAAAGCAAGCGACGACACGAGTTTTTCTATTTTGACTGCAACCGAGTATATCGTATATGTATTAAACTGATTTTTGCTCCTGCTCTTTTCCCTCAACTTTTAATACTTATTTTGAAATTCTGTATTATTTAAAAAAAAAAAATTCAGCTATTTTTTTAAGGATGGCAGTTCAGTTATAATCTCTAATTTATTATTTTTCCTCATAATTGTTATGAACATCTAAGGATCGAAGTTTCGGTAGCTAAGTTGATAATTACTTATGCCGCCGATTGAACTGTTTTGCTTTCACGGGATCGATTCCAACTTTCAGCAGATTGTTTTTTTTTAATGCAGTTCATCGTTCTGGTTAAATTTCTTTTATATATGTCTTATTAAAACTTATAAATAATGTTGCTAGTTGAAATATATATTTTTTATACTAAATCTATTCAATAATTTAATAAGTTGATTATAAGCTTTTATAGCTTCTTCAAGGTTGTTGCACACCTTGGAGAATTATTTACTGTTGTATTAATTTAGTTCAATGGCATACCTTGCCGATGAGCTTCATGGAATTGAAACGGCCTTGGCCTTGTTTACTATTATACCGAGATGTGGATGGATAC